GGTCTCTGCTGTCGATTCTGTTGTCATCTCAGTCATCTGCGCCGACCAGACGGCAATTTTTCTTCTTTGCCTGGTGACCGAGGCTATGATTGCCAAATACAAGACACACGATGTGATGAAGGAAATTGGGATGTGGGGAAGGAGGACGTACGTCATGAAGTCATGGTAGACATTGTCAGCACGGCACTGGCTCCCCGGCACCCATCGGCTCACCCAAAACACCGGCAGGACACCCAGAATGGCAGCGTATACCCAACAACCGACGGCAATCCCGTTGGTCAGACGGCGCGTGAGCCTGGCAGAGAACTTTCGTGAGCTGCACAAGACGAGGCAGCGTTCTGCGGCTATTACAGGCGTGTGGAGTAGAGACAGCCCGTGCATGAAGACCATGGTCGACACCTGGCCGAGACAGGCGTACCTGCTGAACAGCACAGCTCGGCGGAGACCGGGAACCAGTCGAGTTAGGTGCTTCATGACGATGCCGTAGGGAATGGCGACGAGTCCACAAAAGATGTCCGTCAGTGCCAAACTGAAGATGAGAACATCGGTGTTTGTAACGTTCTGAGGCTTCGTCTTGATGAAAGTAATGATGACGGTGGAATTGGAAAGGATGGTCCAGATGGCGATGGAGAATTCGACTGCAGCGAAGGCTATCACGGCGCTCTGTGGCAATGCCATATACCAGTCAGTAGTGTCCGTCCGAATATCGTTCACATGAGATTCCGTGGCATTATAAGTGGAGTTATCCATTTTGCTTTCTACGAGAGTTATTTTAAAGAAAATTTGCACCACAAAGTTGCACAAATTTGTATCACTGTCCGTTTTTTTTTTATGTAGTACAATGGGACTCGGGGAAACTGGAGTAGACGAAGATCCGTGTGGTTTCTCCCGCACGTAAAAACTAATATGATGTTCCTTTCACACCGAGAATAAACGTTGCTGCTATATTAACACCTTTCACCTACGTTAATTTACAGAAAGTTATATAGGTAGCTGTCATGTCCAAGATTGGTGACGGTCAAACGCAGCATGAACATGATTTTTCTTGAAACTTATGCAGTAACAAGACGACGGAAATCTGGAACACTGGAAAGTAGATGTTTTTTTTTCGTTCAACGCCAGGGGCCATCTCAGCTTTTAAGCAGATAAAATATTTGAATAATATATATTTTTTAAATAATAAATAATGTGTCAAATTTGCAGGGTTAGCATTTAATACAAGTTTAAAAATACGCCTTTATAATTTTTTCAAAGGCAAGAGTGTTTTGTCTGCTTGTTTTTGGCATACATTTTAGTTTTGTGTCAAACGATAGTGATATACTTCAAAATATGATCAGGCACCTCTGAGGCTAAGATGAAGGAAGTGAAGTTCGAAAATGGGCTTAATCGGGTTATTTTATCAGATAGTTTCCCCCTTAGCATGTTTTTAGCGTGTAATCCGCTGAGTATGGGGCGGATATCCTTTGCTACATACCAAAATAGTTGAATATTTCGGAAGTTAGAAATATAATTATTATTTCCGTGATAAATTGTCACAATATTAATTGATATACAGCTGGCTGTGGCAGTGGCCAATAAACACTTTTGAAGTTCTGTAAGAACTTCCACCATCTAAGCATCAGCATCGGTCATCAACGTAAACTACAGCCTGATGTGTCGTCAAAAGACATGGTAAAGTAAAAAAAAAAATGCTTCAAAACCCGAGTTTCCATAGGAACAATCAACACCATACTCCTGAATCATGGCTTTCGTCAAGGAGTACTCCTAAGAAATTCTTTTTGATCCAGCAGAAGAAAACCGCCGCTAAAAAGGGACCAAACAATTGACTTCATAGTGCCATCAAGTGTGCCACTGGGGACGTACGTACCTGATTTATTGATGATGTTCTGAATGCCCTCATAAATGCATACTTTTTATCCATTGCTCTTACTCCTTGGGATAGCGCGTTAGGGGAAGATCAGAGCCCCATAACTTGGAGGCATCGCGTATTGCGAATAGCGATATCACATAGAGGCTACAATGTATTATATGGGGCGAGTATGGGCGAGTTATGGAATCGAGACGCTTGCGCTCGGTCGATGCTTTCGAGTTACGGGGCCCTGGTGCTGTTTGCAAGAACTAATTGAGAAGAGATAACTATGTGGATTCTTGAAATGGTCCCATATTTTTTTTTTTATAATTCAACGACTTCACACTCACGTGTGTTTAAACGTGGAGCTAGCTGACTTATGGTATGTAATTTATCCTCAATTAAAACAAAGAAGTAACATTATCTTATCTGCGAGAGACGGCATTAGTTCTTTAAAGATAGATGTTCCATCCGCGTACGCATGTCATTGTGTATTTCAAATAATCAGTCTTATTGCTATCACCTATCTTTTTAAAGATATCATTATCTTATCATTATTAACATCCTCTAGTGATGTAGCTCTCCTGAATCTCGGTAATCCATACTGTCGCACTAATAAAAAGAACTCTGCTTGCGGCAGATTTGTACCGAGTCATCTATTTGTAATTTTCACCTTTAGAAACGTATTGCAAATATAAAGAGCTGTTTCTGACAACAAAATTAACCTCTTAATTTCAATTTTACTTAATAATTCGGAGAAGCATGGGACAGCCTCGGGTGCCCAATTCACAAAAGACACCGTGTCTGCACATAAAAACAAACATTTCAGTTTCATTTCGAAGTGCGTTTTGTTCAGGGTCGCAGCTGAAAACAACACAAACACAACAAGATATTCAGTGAGACACTTTCAACTTTTAATTCAATTTCATAGTCACTTTTATCACCATAGGCAATCAAATATTTACAGAAATCTATTCGGCTTTTCACCTTACATATGGCCTTGCTAGCTCTTGTCATTAAATTTACCTACATTGAACAGGTCCAGCCGACACAATTATCTTTGGACCCAAAAGGACTCAGGACCTTAAAAAGGTCAGAATGACCAGTCCTGGCAAAATGAATAACCATGCAAAGTAATATACAAATGGACAATGATACAATGACTTCTACTTTCTTGGTGAAAGTACCATATTGTTACAATATACAACATATGTACATATCTATGCTAGCAAGGTGTTTTGGGGTACCTTATATATATTTATATACTTAAAAAAAAAAAAAGAAATTGACCAAGGTCAATTTTCCCACACATCATTTTCTTTGCTGTTGTCAAAACTTTTAATCTATGCAAAACCAGATTTGCAAAAAGCTTCAACTTTAAATTGAAACATCCATGTTTACAATAGCAGTGGATACATTTGTTTAAAAAGTGATCACCAGTTACTATAGAGGACGCTGTCTATAGTATTCTTATAAGACAATACCAATCAAAACATCAAACTTCTAACAGCTTTAAAACCATGTCAACCACAAATGTGACAAAAAATAACGGAATAAAAAAATCCAATGTTAACATTAACACCAAAGAATGTGAAACTCTTATTATCTAGGAGACTAATACAAAGTCCTTCAAAGCTGGAAAAACTCTCACTTCACTCAATTATTCTTAATCTGAAGAAAAAACTAGGCCCCAATGCTCTGTTCCATGATAACTTTTCTACACATGCCCCAAGCTTTTTATAACATTCTAATTAAGAAATATGGTAACTTGTAAATATTGAAGTCATTCAGGTTTTACTTCAAATAACTCATTTCACAAACCTTTCTGACCTTAAAATGGCCTAAGTATTAAAAAAATTAATAATAGTATTGGTAATTAATAATAAGTCATTTAAAAACAAACCCGCCTTTCATAAATTCATCTGAGACAGTTCTGAATGTAACCTCTTTTCTCCTCAAACTTGACACTTACAATTAAAGCCACTTTTACTAAATAATTGTTACCGATATTCAAACTCTGCTGCAGCATGACAAGTAAATCTTAACCACTTCATTCTGAATGCTTAACAATGATGTTAATTTAGTAACAGCAATGTGGACAATCAAGTTGCATGTGGATCCCCCCCCCCCAAAAAAAAATAAATAAATAAATAAATAAATAAATAAATAAATAAATAAAATAAAAAATAATTAATTAATTAAATTCAAAATAAGAAAACCTTGAATATTTTAAAGCAACCCTCAACACAACTCAGGCATGCAGTCACCACTTCCACAGACCACAAGCACCTGTCCTCGTAGAAAATCAAAAACTCTTAAACCAGTAATGTTCCTTGAAACTGCATGCTATGTGAACCAGTATGGTATGTGAACCACGTATATGCTATGTGAACCACGTATATGGTATGTGAAACTGCATGGTATGTGAACCAGTTGTTGTGGTTAACACCCAAGTTTCCATAATAACTTATTAAAATAAAGCTGAACTGGGCTACAGGCAATCTTCAGTACTACTTGAAATATTTCAGATGAATTCTCAATAGACAATACTACAAGACTCATCTCATGAACTTTTTTAAAAACTTAAATCATTCACCTACAATGAAAGTTTCCACACAAAAAGTCCACCATTCATACCAGATAAGGTAATCTGGTCACATTGTATCAATTTTCTCAGGCATGGTGCAGGAGTCTCTCTCTCTGTGTCACAGCTTTTACTTGTAAAAGGCACTCTTTGGGTTAACTTCTTCAAACCTTCTCTTGCAGGTTATCTCCACAAATCTCCAACACAACTTGCAAAAGTCAGAAACTGTCGTTTTTCAAATTTCTAGTTGGCTTCAAGTCCAACCTTGTAAGCAGAAGCTTCTATTCGGTGTTTCACTATGCCAGTGGTGATGTCAAAACTACGGTAAAAACTTGAAAAATTTTGTCAGTTTAAGAAAATTAATTAAGATCTTTAAATGCCTGAATCTGACTTAGTGTTTGTAGGTGACAAACTTTTCAAAATTATCAAGAGGCCCATTTTCAAGTTTGATGAAATTTTCAAAGTGAAAATAATTTCGTTGGCAGAGAAGTCTCCTGACAAATTTTCAAGACCAACTAAATTTTCAAGATTTTATCGCAACATACAATCTTTTTCTTTCATAATAACCATTTCTGTCAACGTGTCTTGCTAAGCCTCACAGACAGAACCCATGGCGGACTTTATTTCCCCATCACAGTTTAAGCTCACACTGTTAAAACGCTGTCAAGGCATTCATTTTTCAGCTTCAATCTTTCACAAGTCTTCCCCCTGCTAACATCAGCATTTCCTCGCAGCCCGACTCATCAATATAGTAGTAACTGGACATCTAAAAAACATCCCTTTCCCTGTGCATGCATCTGTCACGCTGGCAAAAGATCAAAATCGTCATTCACTTGGACCATTGGCACATGTAGCTCGTCAATACTCGGACGCTTTTTGTTGTCGCAGAGTCCACACTCCATCAGTTTTAACTCCCAGTCCATCTTCTGCACAGCGTACAGGGACTCCGCCTCGTGATGGTGCCGCGACAGCAGCGCCTCCTACCAAAGTGAAAAAAGATAGATATACTCAGTCATGTTGTTTACTGTAAGTTTATTCTACCGAGTCCGCGTTCAGAAGAGTGTATTAACTAGTCCGCGGGTCAAATATGTCTGACCTACTTGAATACCTCCCCATGGAAAATTTATATTCAGCGTCTACAAGCAGATTAGACAACAAGCTTTTTTAGTGGTTTGCCATATTTGACCCGAGGACAAGTTAGTCTACTGTTCTGAATGGGGCCTGACATTATTAGGCACTTTTTACATAGTGCTGTACACTTTTTGAGAGATAAAAAACTTAATAAAGCATGATCTTTAGGTAAGAGAGATGCAGCCACTTGATTTGATTTATTTTGATTGGTATACTGGGGTATGAGACAGAGAGTACGCTAAAGCCAGACTTTTTGAAAATGCCAGTCTCTCAAGTCTGTTGATAAACATTCCGGCCACTAATGCATAGGAGTATGTTAAACCTTTAAGTCCTTATTGATGTACTTCCTTTTTTTCATGAATACATATTTTTGCCTTGATTATAAGAATATTTCACAGAAGGATAAAAGGATACTCTACTCTCTGTAACCCTATAAAAGAGTGACGGACACTTGTTCGAAAAGTTTTGCTGGTGTAACAGCTGCCATCTCATCAAATGGTAATTTACTACTGTTAATGTATATTGATCCCAACATACACACTACAAGCAATAACACAGCTTGAGTAGGTGTTACTTTTTCATATCTTTCATCCATATCTTGCACTTAACAAAACAACACAGATTTCATCAAATGGTAATTTACTGTTGTTAAAGAATATTGCTTTTGATATATATAGTGCAAGCAATAACGGCAAGTTCAAGTACCGCTTACCTTTACTTTTTCATATTTATCATCCACATCTTGCAGCCAAGAAATTAACTGGCGTCCAGTGTATCTGGCTCTTGATGTCTTATCTTTCTCTTCCTAGAAAGTGGACAGACCATTGATCAGCATATTAAGTATATATACCACATTTTCTATGTACCAGACATATCTCACTATATAAGATGAACAGCTACATCTGTCTTTTCTTATACTTAAATTCACTTCACTTTACTTCTACAATACACTTTTCATCATTTCATGAACACACCATAGTTTTTTTTTAAATAAAAATAAATTTTAATTTAATACTATTTTTAACCATTTTCTAAAACAAGGCACCAATTTTATTTGACATGTATTTAGTAACTGACAATATACACAGTACTTTATAATATGCAGACATTCAGGATGGCATTTAACTTAATGTTATAAAATCTATACTTAATCAAAAATTGGATGAAAATTATGGCAGCATATAAAGTGGTTAAAAATTGTCCATTTTCTTCTTACCTGCTCAGCATCCAGCATGTAATAGACGTCCTCATCGCGGAGAATAGTACAGGCACTGAGAGGGACGCTCTGATTGGCCATGGCTCTGGCCGCCCTGCCGTGCGCCCGTATCCTTTCCTGCTCAATGGACAACATCAGCTTCTCCTGGAAAGGCAATGCCACAGTACAGATTGTGTTAGGTGTGCTTTGGTAAACAATTGTGTTACACAGGGATGTGACAGGGCTTGGGCACAACTGCTGCACTCACCATACTAGCTTTTATATTCTGAATCTAGGAGGTATAGTCCAGTTTTACACCAGAGAATGGTATACACATATAATGAAAAGGAATAGCTGTTCCTACTAAAAAGGTTATTTGTTAGGATTATAGTTCCATTCATAGGATTATAGTACTGTGAAGTGGAATGAAAATTAATATTTCTCAATGTACGAGTAGGGTGAAAGTACCATGGTTCTGAAACGGTTAGCTTTATCTATCAAGTAGGTAGCAATAAAGAAAAGTGCTAGGGAGGACACCAAATTATTTTAACCTTTACATCTACCTAATGCTTTACATCTACCTAATGGAGGCATTTTGGAGAACAACATATCACTTCATAAGATGGGGAAATATAATGAATTACACATTCTACTGATTGGTCATATTTTCTTTTATAAAGAAAACAGTGGCATAAATCTGGGGGAAAAAAAGATTTAATAAGTCTTTAACCAGAGAGAGAGAGAGAGAGAGAGAGAGAGAGAGAGAGAGAGGGAGAGAGAGGGAGGGGAGGGGGGGTCTTATACTTACTCTTTCTATAAGATGCTGTAACCGTAGTCTATATCTTTCTTTCTCCTGGTCCTCAAACATGGACTTCATTGGCGCTTCTATAGAGTTTGGAGGAGACAACTGAAAACAGATATAATAATAATAATAATAATAATAATAATAATAATAATAATAATAATAATAATAATAATAATATATATATGAATTAAATAGGGGCTTGACTTCAATTACCAATCACAGTTACAAAATCATTAAACAAGACTTTCAAGAAACAATATTTTATAACATGGCGACTACAAATGATTTCAAAAATGGCTTGCAAACTTGGGCAGTAAACTTATTGTTTACATTCCATTTTTACTATCATCCACATTACAATGGCATGAGGTGGTCTTTGGGACAAATATCTGAAAGAGTGCAACTTGGTTACTTAACTCAACCTTTTTTGATAATAGCCACTACAGAGAAAAGTATTTTAATGCTACAAAATATCGAATCTGACATCCTCCCCCCAACACACGCACACACACGCACGCACGCACGCACGCACGCACGCACGCACGCACGCACGCACGCACACACACACACACACACACACACACACACACACACACACACACACACACACACACACACACACACACAGAGGTAAAATGAGGATATATCTTGCCTTTTCTATATTTTGCTTCATTGGCTCTGGTTTCGCTGTCACAGTGGCTGAAGGGGCAGCAGGAGAGAGCTAGAGAAAGAGAGAACAAGGCAGCAAAGCTGTCAAATGTACAGACAAAAAGCAGACAATAACAATGCACAAAACAGGCTACTGTCAATTCTGATGCAAAAGTACATTATGCTTAACTGCAAATTCAACATCAAATTTCAATTATGCTCAACAGGTAATACCAATGTAAGTGAAATGTGTAACAAGCGTAAGGCTTCAGGCCCATGGGAGTTTAAGTTCACACTTTGAAAATGCCAGAATGAGAAAAATGAAAATTTCACATAAAACTGCTTAAATTCAATAATAAATGATAACCCATTTGAGCTGGCTTTCTTATTTGAACTGCATGCCAATCCTACAAATCATACTTGTAAGTTGAAAATAATAATAAGTAACATAGTTTTCTTTTCATAATGTTTGTAGTAGCAGTGCAAAAAGATTTTTGTCAATTTTGATGTAACATTACATAATAAATTACAGAATAATTATCACCAATTTTTGATTATTGACTATAAATAGCATGGACATGTAGAAAATTTGATTACCATTTGGCTTCATGTCCATGGGAGCTTCGAGTCCCACAATGAATATGCCAACATGATAAAAATGAATATTTCACTAAAATGTATAACTTCCAGAAAAAGAAGCCAATTAGACTGCTTTTCCAACTCAGGCTGCATTTTAGTCCTTTGTTTCTTTTTTGAAAGTTTGACAATCATAAGTAACATGGTTTTCCCATAATGGTCATCATGGCAGCAGCACCCAAAATTGTGTTTTCTTCTATTTTAATGCAATATTACATAATGCTTAACAGCATAATGACCATCAGTTTTTAATAATAAAAGATCCGTATCGTGGATTTTCAGAAAATGTGACTAGCATGGGTCTTCAAGCCCGTGGAGGTTCTAAGTCACACCTTGAAAATGCCAATATGTGAAAAATTAAATTTTCACAAAAAACTGATTAACTGCCAAAAAAATTTACCAAATAGTCTGCATTGCCCACTGAAGCTTTATTTAAGTCCCATGTTTCTTCCTGTAAGTTTGAGAACAGTAAGTGACATGGTTTTCCTTAAATGGTCATCATGGGAGCAGTGTCCAAAATAGGGGTGTCTTCAAATTTTGATGCACTATTACATAATGTTTAACAGGATAATTACCATCAATTTTTAATAATAAAATATTAGTATCATGGATATTCAGAAAATGTTCCTAGCAAAGGTCTTCAGGCCAAAGGAACTTCAAAGTCACACCTTGAAAATGCCAAAATGTAGACAAGACAGCACTGTCCTGAAATGTTTTTTTTTCCATTTTTAACAATTTTTTAACATATAACAAAATTAACAATTTACTGCCATTTATATATGATCAACTAAGAAAATTGATGAGATGGGAAAAATATCAATAGAACAGTGTTTAATGTCCAATTTCCTCCATTCTGAGTTTCTGAACATAGTGAATGAATGAATCTGACAAACTGCAATGATATGAGTTTATTTCCATTTTTGAAACTCTATTATACAATACATGATAACAAGTTTACCATCATTTTTACATAATCAACTAACAATGTTGTAAAGATGCAGGAAATGTCAAACAAACACTTTTACGAATCTTATTAGTTAAATAATGAGACTGTTAACATGCCTAAGAATTGAATCTGAGGAAATGTGAAAAAACAGCATAACTTATAAAATAATGGCCCGATTATGCTGATTTTCGAACTTGACCTGCATTTTAGTAAGATTGATTACTCCTGTGAGTTTCATGACAACAGGTCTATCGGTTTTCCTTGAAATGTGTTAACAGTGTTGCACATATGCTGAAAAGTGAAAAAAACAGCATAACTACTAAAATAGTGGCCCGATCATGCCGATTTTCGAACTTGATCTGCGTTTTAGTAAGATTGATTACTTCTGTGAGTTTCATGACAACAGGCCTATCGGTTTTCCTTGAAATGTGTTAACAGTGTTGCATATATGCTAAAAAGTGAAAAAACAGCATAAATTCTACAATAATGGCCCGATCATGCTGATTTTCGAACTTGACCTGTGTTTTATGAATATTAGTCAGCTCTGTAAATATAAAGCCAAAAAGTAAAACTGTCTTCCACTTATGGTGTTAACGCTGAAAGTGCACGGCGACGGCGACGGCGACGGCGACATGATCGGCGACGGCGACGACAGACGCAGGTGATGGCAATATGTACAGACACATCTGTGTCTGTACATAAAAATGACAGAATTAGTCCAAAAATATCAGCTACATCTATTTGTTCATCATATTTCGAGGTTTAAAAAAAGACTCCAATTGCTGGCGGGAATGCATTAAGACATGGAACAGCCATTAATATAGGTAATAAAATTTTCATGAATAGCTATAAAGGTGGGACTCAGTCCAATTCTCATCTCACAAAAGTGGTCATAAATTTGGTTAAAAATAATTTTCTCCGAGAGAATATTTGAGCTTAAGTAGTGTACGGCGTTTATTTGCAGATATAAGGGTTTTATATAAATCATGAAATCAAGTGCAGATTTACCCTAGGTTTTAATTGTCTAGTTCAAAAGTCTATTTTCACTAATCTGGTTTTGAGGTAATTAATAATTGTAAGAAGTCAATGTTATTTTTAACTAAAGCAATGCTCTATGATATGCAAATAGATATATTTCTATGTCAGTTTAATGTGGAATAAGTTCACTATCTATTTATATACTATTAACTTTTACCGAGAGTGTTCTCAACTAGTTTTGTGCCACTATTACAACAATAATCCTAATATTATGAGTCACTGCATGACACAAAAAAAAAAAAAAAAAAAAACATTACTCAGAAAAGAGATTATCAATGATTAAAAAAAAAAAAAGCATTTGAGACGGAAATGCCTAAATGTCAAACAGACCTAACCCAGAGAAAGAGTGCAGCATTGCAGGAAATAACACAAGTAGTAGTCATGGTAACCAAGTTGCTATGGTGACAGTGGCTGGTGACAGACTAGTAGTCTTTCAATTGATGTCATGTGCACACAAAGTTTTGCTTCCTTCAAGTATATTTATCACGCAGCATAAGAAATCGTGATTTAGGAATCTATTTATATTTCAACAACAAATGGGCCACAAATATAACAATGGCTGAAAGGCTCAAGATGATAAAATCCATGATGATAAACTTAAAAGACAAATACATTGCTTCTATATTAACTTCCCATAAAAGTGCACTTTCCTTTCTGAAAGATATGTTCACAAAAAACAAAAACAAAAAAAAATCATCTCATTTTGTTTTGATAGAACTTAGACTGGGTTTCCATACCTAAATCGACCTAACAGGATCAGTCCAGACATGCTGAAACTGTTGGTCCGATCCGATCCGGCAAAATTTGTCTGGACCAGTAAAAAATTGGACTTAATCGGTCCAAAGGACCGACAAGAGTTTTAAGAGCCACCATTTAGAATTTACAGTCATCATTCCACATAATTCACTGAAAAATTATATAAAGCCCAAAGCGTTTTTTCAATCCATTTCAACCGACCACATTCACAAATAAAGTAAGCTACCTAATCCTAGTATTCGTCTAAAAAAAAATGGGTGATTTTCGGTCTGGCAAAAATCCATTCTGTCCAGCAAATTTTTCATTACTGCCGGTCCAAATGTCCGGCCATTATGAAAAGTTTTCAGCATGTCTGCAGTCAATCTCCAAGGGGTTTTCTCGCTAAATTGCTTTTAGCTTAAAGTACTTAGATGTCTGGCCCACCTACTGAAGCTGCTCAATGAGTGTTAAACACCCTCTATCAGTTTCAGTAGGCATGACAGACATCCAAGCCGCATTGGTTGATTGCAATTTAATGAGAATCCCCTGGGAGATAGACTGATCCAAAGTTAGTACGATAAGGCCTGGGAATGGTGGAGCCACAACTTGGGGGACCTACCGTTGGCACTGAAAGCTTGACTTTCTCTTTGATCATGTAATTTCGGTTGCTCAGCAAATAGTCATGGAAACCTTGGGGTGCCTTAGGCTGAACAACAAACATGTGTTCTCTTCGTTTGGCAATCTGAGAGAGAAATAAAAAAAAAATACAAACTTGTCAAATCTATCATGTCAAACTAAGGTGACTCTATTCTAATCTTAACCTTATGTTTTATTTATTTTAAAGTATTGACATTTCTTTATCTAGGTTAATTAATGTAAATCTTCCAGTCTCACTAAAAAAAAAAAAACTTTATCATATTGTAAACATCTGTAAGTTTGTGAACCTGCGTGTCCATCTTTCTATAGCAGTAATCAAACAGTATTGAATATGATTTCTATATGTTTTCACATTTTAATAGATTAACCAGAGCAGGTGAATTTTCAGTGATGTCATCTAATAAGAAAGTCATCATCTCCCTCCCAACCCTTAAGCACCAAAAAATCTATTACCGTGGATTTGAGTTGATTTACCTTGATCTTTTTCCGAGTGAAAAAAATATAAATAAATAAATTTTATAAGTCTTACCACATCGAGTAAAAAGGAAAATATTGCATTCTTAATACTATAATTCCTACCTGTTTTTTAATCTGTAAATAAAGCACCAAAACATCCTAAGTTTCAGTTGCTTTGCCTTGATCTTTTTCAAGTGAAAAAAAAAAATCCTAACAGTCTCACCACATAAGTAAAAAGGAACACATTTCAAAATAAAAATAATGCATCCTACCTGTTTTCTAATTTGTAGATAAAGCTGGTATGGATTCACTGGCTTCTCCATGGAGGTGGGAGGGGGGATGGCCACAGGTTCCGTCTGGGGTGGGGGATCGGGGCGGGGCCGTAATTTTCTCTTTCTGGGGTGGATGTATTCTATCTCAGACTTGGACTGGTTGTCTTGGGAACTGCTGTCACCGTTCTGAGATGCTGCAGGAAAGAAAATGAGATAATGTGTTAGATCTTTGTTCAATCTTTAAAGCTAAAAGGGGTGAATATCTGAAGCTTAAATATTCCTTGATCCATATTAGAGAGAGAGACACTGTTATCTGCTATTTGAGAGAGAGAGAGAGAGAGAGAGAGAGAGAGAGAGAGAGAGAGAGAGAGAGGAAGGTTTTCTGCTACATTTTGCCAAAGGAAATGAAAAACCAGCTGCCATTAAATTATACTCCACATCGCCATTTTGAAAACTGATAAATCTAGAATAAGTAGGTGTAGCTGAATTTGATGCTGAGAAAATAAAAACTACTGCTTAGACAGTTGCCATTTAAACTACGCAAATGTCAGAATCTGTTTGCACTTTACAAAGGAAATTCTACTGGTTCAGTAACTTGAAGGCGGTCAGGTCATATGAAAGACTTGCCCTGCTAATATGGGCTTTACATTTCATAGCCACTATAGAAACGAATGTGAAGAAGAAATTTAAAGACTCAACTTGCTGCAGGATATTCTCTATATAAAAAAAGGTCACCTTGTATATGCGATATGTACAAACCAGGCCTTCAATTATATCATCAAGACTCACTTCAATATTCCTCTCTTGCAGAAAATCAAAAGAGCAAATCATTTTCTAATGGCTACTGTACAGAAAGTTATGACCTAGACTGTACACTGCAGTAATATTGTTCTATATTAGGACGATTAGATCTGTCCTTGTCAGGTGAAAAACAACACAACACGCACATTTCCTGTATCTCAACGGCATCACAAACATCTGTCTTGAGAATAAGAAGAGATGGACATATTTCAGAGCCAAAAGAAAGGAAATACCGATCTAAATAAATTTTTATATTTTTCTTAATAACAAATAGGTATGTGACACCATTGACGTAAGGCCAATATGTCTTGAAATATTTCAAACAGTAAAGCAAAATGATGTAATTTCCCAACCACGATCTCTATCACAATATAAATTCACATTTCTTTCCAAGTATCTTCTGCTTGTAATCGATATAACAAGTTTCACAATGCTCTCACTTAAAGCTGTAATTTTCAGTTGCCTCGGAGTTGGTTCTCTGATTAAATTTTACTGCGATAATCATTGCTCACCCTTCATTCCAACGACAACTGGAAAAATACCGGAACCACTGTAAAACACCTCTCTTTCAATTTTAAGAAGAAATTTCTGTCTGACAACTCTTCTCACATTTTTTCTGCTGCTCAGTTCGTCTAGTTCGCCATAGTATACACACATCGATTAATTCTCCATGAAGTCTTGTTGCCATGGAAACTGATTTGCAATTGATAGGAACTGCTGTGTCCTTTCACTTTTGATCTTTTCGTTCATTATATCTTATTACCACACAGAACAGTGTGAAACTTAATTGCCACTACCACAACTGTGTAAGGAAGGTTATCTTTTTTATGACTTATTATTTCTGAAACACTTCCCATTTACATTACAGGTAGGAGAAGAAAAAAATTAAGAGAAATTTTGATTGTCCAAATAATTGTCTTTTTGTAATTATTTATGTAGATAGTAAGACTAATCTACACTGAACAGTTTTATTATGTTACAGCATATACAACAATTTTGTCAGTTTTACATCAACTTACAGTCAATTATGAGTCATAATTTCAATCTTTTTTTCTACTTTGGCTATTGAGAGGCCAATCTGTGTGTGTGTGTGTTTGTGTGTATGTCTCTCTCTCTCTCGCTGTGTGTGTGTGTGTGTGTGTGTGTGTGTGTGTGTGTGTGTGTGTGTGTGAGAGAGAGAGAGAGAGAAGCAAGTTATTAAAACCCCCGCCTACAGTAATATCACTTAGTTCAGGCAAAAACAGCCAAGCTGTGCATCGTTCTAATGAGGTAGAAGATCCCTCCATTGAAGCTGATACTGAAAACTCCGCTTTTAAATTACAGAGGCTACACAAAACAGGGCATGTAGTGCATATAGCTCTGTGAACATCTGCAGTCTGTAGTCTTCTGAGGATTTCATTCACACCACAAACTAATGTGTTACCTAAGCTTTCAGGGAAACTCATTTCCACCATCCACTAATGATTTCTTCAGAATGGATCATGAAAAAAATCCTTAAGTAACCTTTCCTATTTTTGTGAAATAAGACATTCCACGTGGGAGGAAAAAAATAAACAGAATGAGGTCATATTACAAAGAACATCCGTAGTTTTACTGCCTACCTTCATATGAAACACCTTTCCTCTTAAAATCTTAGGAAAACTGGATATGTAACTGTAATTTTGAGTATTTATCAAAAGGGAAACAGGGGTCAAATTTCAAATATACAGAGAAAAAAATCTTTATAATTTTAATCAATAAGGATGCAAAAAAGCGATATCTTTTTTCAACAGCTGTATACACTGAGGGAACTCTATGTGGATGTATCATGGACATGATATTAAATACTGAAAATGATTTTAAAATAAATAAATCTAGAAAAACATTCAATACTGTGAATTTCTTACCCTGTGATGGTTTCTCATTCTGCTGCTGCTGTTGTTGCTGCTGCTGCTGCTGTTGAGCTGCCGTATGTGACCTCAGTGTCCTTGTGGGCTTAATGTCTTCCGCCTCCTCCTCCTTGTTGTTATTATCCTTACTGGTCCCTTCTTTCTCTTTTTCCTTGCCCTTACTGTCCTCTTTTTCACTCTTTCTGCTCCCCTCGCTCTTAACAGAGCCAGAGTCGCCCGATTTGGCGGAGTTTCCATCTTTATCTTTGTCCCTCTTGGAACGAGTGTTGGTGGTGGTAAGATTTGTCCCAGAGATGGCCGTGTTGGAAACCACACATGGAGTAATCTCCATGTCTTTTTCAGTCCTTGAAGTTGTACTAGAAGTAGATGTAGTTGTGATAGTAGGGGCTGCTCTTGGCTGCTGTAGCTGCTTTTCTGTTCCTTCAGGATTAACCTCAGCTGATGACTCAGGGCCGCCCACTATATAGATTGAGGATGTGGGGGAGTTTCTTGTCACAGGCTGTGACAGAATTTGCTGTTGTTCTTTCTGATGATGTTGTTGTTGTTGTTGTTGTTGTTGTTGTAGCTGCTGCATGGATTGGTCTACATTTACCGTTGCTGTTGTCGTTGTCGTGTTGTTCCCTGCCCCCTGACTACCTGACACAGGTGCGGTGACATTAATAGTCTCGCCGGCTGCCTCGTCAATCTCCATTGACTCCTGCGTAGGGTTAACTACGTACGGCAGAAACGGTTTACTCAGAAGGCGTTTCAGATCACCCTCTCCACCCGATGCAGGCGGAGTCTTTTGGGGAATGATGATTTTCAATGGGGGTACTTTTAACTTGGGCGAGTCTTTATCTGAAGAACTTTTTGGGGAATTTCTGTCGCTTCTTGGAGAAGAGCCAGTGGGCGAGGTTGACATGGCCTCTTTTGTAATATTGTCCAATTTTGGTGAAACTCGGTTTCCTTTTTCAGTTGGCGATGAGAGTTTTCGATTTTCAGCTTTAACTGATGGAGACGTGCTCCTAGACATTTCTGTCGAAGGAGGCGAGGAATTTTTACGTCCATCTTGCTGCTGTTCTGAAATCCTCTCTGATGGAGATATCTGAAGATGTAAGGGTGAGAGGTTTCTATGTTTTTCACTTGTACTGTCAGGTAGGAATTTATCCTTTGGCGAACTTCCCTTGTACTTATCACTTTCTCTCATATTTCTTTCTTTAGTCCGACTACTTTCTGTAGTTCCGAAAGAACCTGATCTTCCTCTAGAATCATTCTTAATCGCTCTACTCACTACAGCTTCTGATTTTTCAACCTTGCTGACCTTAGTTGCAACTGAGGTGCCACCAAGTTCTGATTTATCATGAAGTTTGTTTTTACTACTAATACTTGATGAATCAACTGTTTTCTCAGTTTTAAAAGTTTTAAAGAAGCCAGCTTGCTCACGCTCAGCCTTATTATTGAGGAAACCCACCTCTGATTTCTTATCATTATTTCCTATTGAATGTGGAATGTATAAATCGGCCATATTTGAAGATGAGGACTCCGCCTGATGTTGAGGCGGCTGTTGCTGATGATAAGAAGACGAAGCGTCTTTCTCACGAGAGTCACGCATTGAACTTCTCATTTTTTCCAGACTAGTCAATTCCTCGGTATCACTTATATCCTCAAATTCTGGCGCGTAAGGATCCTTTTCTGGCTGCTGCTGCTGATGTTGCTGCGACTGTATTTGTCGACTGTGTGAAAATAATCCCATTCTTTCATGAATAGTTGGTTTCATTTCCTTTGCAGGGTAGTCCTTGTTCACAAGTGGATTAAATGCCACTGGACCTCCAGCAGAGTCTTTACTCTGGCCAAAAGATGGTGCTGCTTTGGTCTCAGAGCCATGACGAGCCATGGCCGCCATTGAAAGTCTACTAGTGTCTTTATGATGGATTTTCCCATACGAGTCCCTATTAGTTACATTTGACGTGGGGTCTTTAGAAGAAGAAGAAGAAGAAGAGACAATATCCAGATGTGGATTGTACAAGTCACTGTCTGAACTAGATGATCGTGACACCCTCCTTTTGGCTGGTGACACTTTGCCAGAGACCCCCGTCAGTTTCCTCTCCTCACCTCCTTCCTCGCCCATGTCCATTTTGACGCTGTACGACATATCACCTTTGCTTTTTATGTGTTGGAATTTTAGCGTTAACCTCGGGGAGGATTTATCAAAGAGTCTGTTTTGTTTGGCTGCCAAGTGGGAATCTGGTCCATTATTTTCATATGTGTCCAGACCTGAAAAGAAACACAGTCTCTTGTCAGAAATCAATCAAGTAGATTGGTGATCACTGAAAGCTCTAATACAAATTTTGTGTTTGTCCTTTACTTTTATTTTTCAGAACTACTAGCTTTATGTTATATAGTGTGTGTGTGTGTGTGTGTGTGTGTGTGTGAGAGAGAGAGAGAGAGAGAGAGAGAGAGAGAGAGAGAGGAGGGGTAAAGAGAGTGAAGATCATTCGCTTCCAAGAATAAATGGACATAAAAATATGAAATATCTAGGGTAAAAAATTTACCAATATGATCTTCCTTATCTGAAGTGACACTTTCTGGTGAAGTAGGAGACCTTATTTCAAGACTTGAACTGTCGCTGCTAGAAGCAATTATTTCCTTCTGTAGAATTTGTAAGATCTCTGGTGCTGCAGCGACATCTATTGGCCGTTTTCCATGTGTGTTCGGCTGCAGCGGATTGGCACCGTGTCGTATGAGCAACTCTACCAGCTGAAAGAATATATAAATGGATATAAAGAATATATAAACGTGTAAGAAAGTGTCCCACCTATCTACACTCAAGTCATATCAATCAAAAAGAGTTTTCTATGTGACCGATTTGTACTGCCATGTTCTCTTTAACAGCATATTGCACTTTAGTTCTGATTAAATGCCTCATTTATTTTCTGTTATTTAATCTGGGTAAAAAAAAAAGCTTAACCTTTCAAAGATTTGTCTATCTCTCATTCTCTTTTGTAAGCAACAATGATCACATGAAAACCAATCTAAAATCAATTTTGGGGACAGAAAATGCTACGGATAACCAGATGTCAGTTTTGCTTTATTTCCTTTTTATGACAACTGTCACTTAAAATTTTTCAACTGTAACTAGTTCTCTGTAAAATCTATCGAAAAGACTTGAATACAATGAATATGTTTAACAAATGTCATCAATCCATATACATCTCAAAAGACTTAATTAAAATTAGCAACTTATGTTTCCTTCCAAAATATCTCATTTTCATACTTCCATCTAGAATTTTTGATTTTTCATATAACCAATGCACATATATAAATAGCAAATTTTCAATAAATTCGGAATAAATTCTTACTACCAATTTCCACCTAGAATTACTCGAGTATCAGGATTGCTCGTCAGAGTACCCAGTTGTAAATGCGGACTATATTTATCACAATAGGAGTCCTCAGAGAAAAACCAACAAGACATGCATTCAAGGGTTTAAAATATCTAGATTTCACAGCCCCTGTTGGTATTTATAGCTAATTCTTTTCCATAATTTACATTTTGTTCGACGTACAATCAGTAGACAATATAATCAAAGACACCTACTGCGAAACTATAGGTTTTCTTTGTTATAAATTTTGAATGTATCTTAATTCTTTTCCAAGAAATTCCTATCAAGATGAGATATCACGCAAGAAGTTATTTTTCCCTGGGTAGGAGGTTAAAATGTGAACCTAAGGAAAATGCTACAGGGTCTATTTTAAATGCATTAATCTGGTGACTTCGTGGATGAAAAAAATCCCAGGTAAGTGTCTACACACCAGTTCCTCGAACAAAAGACGTGGATCAATACTAATCTCTGAGCTAGAAGATCATAGTCTCATGAGATAGAAGTAATTCCTCACAAATTTCAAACACTTTGCCAATTCCAACATTTTATTTTTCCCCTTCTTTACTAAATCAATTTTAGCAAATCACCAGAGCAAAGTGCCTAAAAAGATCTCAATTGTGAACTTTTAAATTGTATTTTAAAGGTGCACATGATATACAAGCACAGTTTAAGGAAGTACGTATGCTTCATCAGTTTTGTTTGGATTTACTGAGTAACTACCATATCATGTCAACAATATCTCATGTCATTCTTATGATTCAGCTTCTAGTATGGTTTCTGTTTTTATTCCCAACAGTTACAGTAAAGCTATCACTTATCCATCAAGGGAAATCCCTGGCACTAAGAGCTGTAGCGCAATGTACAGCCCTCTCTTTCAAACAAAAACTTGGGTTTGGGCCACTGATTTGATATTGAAGATGACTCCAATATCTGAGCCAAAACCGTGAAACATTGGCTGAATTGATTATTTCTGTGGTGTTTGCTTCAACATTCACCACTGATGAGAGACACTGAGATTGAAAGATTCTCTCAGTTCCAGGAAAGTAATATCAGGAGATAATATTAACAATACATAAAAACATTAATTATGTTATATACGTGAAGTTAATGGGAGGTGATGAAACAGCTTTATGAAATTTATTACTTCATAATGTACAATTACAGTAATAAATTCCACTGAAGCCTTCATTTTCTCAAAATAGAAGATAAATGGCATTAACAGTTGCACAATAATTTAACATCAATAAATTTAAACACACCCACTATAAAAACACTACATTGCTACTAAAATATCATATTTTTACGAATTCAACAACCTACACATCTGCTTAACAAAACTACATCAAGTCTAATCATCAAGAAATCTGTGCAATAATTTACCTTTCTATGCCCATTAATGGAGGCGTCGTGAAGCGGAGTGTCGTTGTCTAGTCCTTGCACGTTGACGTTCGCACCTGCCTTGAGCAGTTGCTTGGCTATGTCCACATGACCATGGTTGCAGGCTTCATGGAGCGGAGTCCATCCTGAAATTGAGAACATGTTTCCGTGGTTACGAGTTAACTCGACTGAAGCCTTACAACGGGAAATTGAAATAAAGTTGCAAATTCTGGGGGGGGGGAGAGGGGGGAGGGGAAGAAGGAGAGAGAGAGAGAGAGAGAGAGAGAGAGAGAGAGAGAGAAGATGAGTCATCCCTGATGCAAATCCAACTTCAAAATAATTAAACACTTCCTACTACATTAATAATAACCCACAAGACAGTGCAACACAGACAACAACTTGTACAAGTATGTATTATTCAGCATATTCCTATAACCAGATGTAACTAGCAGACTTCACCTGGCATTTCACGGAAGCCAGGTAACTAGTATGACAGCTGCCGCATGAACAAATCCCAGAAATTATTTGCCACCAGAGAAAGCAGCGCTGTATAATTAAACTTAATTGCGGCAGCCCCAGAGAACAGATTATATCTGCACATGCCAGTTGTGCATTCTGGTGTGAGATGATAGCAGGCAAAGTGTTGTTTCTATACACTCGGTCATATATCAAAGAGGGTAATATAGAAAATATGCATTCTGCATACAGGTAATATGGAAATATCCATTCTACATAAAGGTAATATAGAAAATATGCATTCTACATACAGGTCAATACTATATTAATATTTTTCTCTTTCGCGCGCGCACACAGACACACACACATATGCATGTGCATACACACACACACACACACACACACACACACACACACACACACACACACACACACACACACACACACACATACAGACTCCCTGGATAATACAGCTGCATACCAAACTAATTATTATTTTATGTTTGCCAAACATATTCAACAATATAAAACAGTGTTATCAGCATTCATATTCTTCTGGCATCCATAACACACCAGTTAACACCACCAAGGACATCACAAGTCAAAAACAAAAACCCCAGTTTGCATGGACATAAAAAAACCAACCTCTCCCCTTGTATCTTCCTCTTGGTCAGCGAGCTGGACATAAAAACTGACCTCGGCCACAGTACAGGTCAGTACCTTCCTTCATCAGATGGCTGTGCACTGACCGGTGAACTGGACATGAGCACTGACCTCTCCCCACCCATATCCATACATCAAGGCAATGTGACAGGTTGACCTTTTCCTCAACCTCTCCTATATATGCACCTAGTAATCTTCCTGGCATATGGCTATACGCGATTAACTGAGCTCGTGCATATTTTATCTAGAGGTTGTTCTAGCAGAGACGATCTCACAAATGCATGCACGCAAGCAAGCATGCACAAAATTATTTTTGGATGTGGAAAATTTGCCTGTATTGCAAGTACACTTAATGTCTTTTATGTAAATGCTGATGATTTATTTTAAAGAGGATATTTCACCCCGTTTCCATATTTCCATAGGAAGATGTGCAAATACGCAACGGAACCGCTATTTTTTTACCAGATGATGAACTTGCAATTGCAGGCAACACCTATGTCATGAGGACAATCTTGTTTTTTTTTTTACAGACCAATATATTCAGAGAAAATATTCAGAGAAAATATTTTGAGGGACATGACCCCCCTCCCTCCCCCCCACCCCCCCTCTCTCTCTCCCTCTCCCTCTGTGAGTGCACAAGCCCTCAATGCTGTATGCTGAAAGAAAATCCATCTTGTGAGGTTTAGCTCCTCTGCAGTAATATCATATTCAACAAAACCTTCACAATATGGGTTCTAAGAATATGAATGACCTGGAGATATGCCTGTGAGACAGAGTAAGAAAGGTCTCACACAAAGACTGGTACTAAAATAACAGAAATATTTTCTTCAAAGTTTTTTTTTTTTTCATTACAGGGATCAAATGTGCTTTCTCACTCACTGAAATCACCTTTCTCACATGCAATGCTTTTTCACAGCTATCAATATGGCACAGACATGGGTGATCCTGCCATCTACTCATATAAAAAATCACACTTCAGGCTCATAATATGCTGTCTTACCAAAGGAAGTGATCTTTTCTAGCTATGGGTTATGTCGTCATCATCTTTTTGCACCTTGAATTGCAACACTCTCTCAATATTCACTTAAAACTTAAACGGGGAAAGTCAGACATAGAAAAAAATTGAATCAGGTCTTGCTTCTAGGGGTAAAAAAGGATTTCCAATTATGGAGAAAATATCAGAAAATATCATGTCTAAAATATTCATGTTTATTCTCCTTGTCACCTAGCACTCCATGACCTAGTGACCTTAGCTGTCACTTGATGGCGCCACTGCACATAGAGCAGATGATGGTACATGTGCACAAAAACAAGAAGCCTAAGAAAGATCAAAATGAATGCGGCAAAAACATTTTACTATTCTATTTTGTTATGCATACCGAGCTATGTCCTAAAAACTGTGGGCATGGAAAAAATGCCGATTCAGTTCGCTCTACATTATTCCATTTGAGCACACATATAAACATGTTATCATTTCATTAATTTTTCACATAAAAGTACAAAAACATCTAAAAACCACACATATTTCTCTCTATAGTGCCCTCAGATTTCCTGACGTCACTTATTTTTTTCATCATGAAAGAGGAAAATAAATCTTTCCAGGTTTCTCATACCATAATAAGATCAAGCACAATGAAAGGATGAATATCTTACCTTTAGTATATTATGAAGCATATTTTCATTCATTAAATATTGCAATTATATGGAATGCTGATATCGTTTACATCCATAGAAAAGAAAAAAAAAAACACTTTATATCCAAAAGTACAAAAGTTTACTAAGTGAAGGCATTTCATTTTAAACTCATTTTATTTCTCAGCAGGCAAAAAGATCACTAATATGAAGCTTCATTCCAATATAATAAAGAAATTAGTGTTCAGTAATGATGATGTCATATTATAAACAAACAAACAAACAAACAAACAAACAAACAAAACATTCATATATCACAATCTTAAGGATTTTATAGTTCAAAATAGCTCAGTTATGCCAGAAATCAGTTTACATAAGCTGCTATTGAATTGGAGGATAGGAGGCGTAAGCTGGCTGTGCCTGAGTACTAGTACTTGTTTTATTTCAACATATATATCTAGAGTTGCTCAAAATAAACTGATAATCACTATGGTGGGTTATAATAGAGTTTTATTCACACGAGCAAATCAAACACTGCCCTCTCAGGCTGCATTTACGTCTGCAACCTTCTACGGGGCCTTTCTTTCATATTTGTCTGCTAAAAAACTAGTCCAGCGAGTCACGGGAGTTCAGCAGTGCTAAGGTCAATGGAGATCTACTTTGGCTGTAAACTTCAGGGGGCATGGATGACTAATAACTCACCAGACAGCTTGCCTGTTGCAAAACAACTTCATATCATTGTGGAAATCCCTAGACCACAAGAGGTCTATTTTTAAATTCTGGCTCGTGTCCAAAAAAACAGAACTCGCCACCACAAGAGGCCCTCCCGGTATGGTGGTGAATAAGGGCTGACGAAGAAGCTCTGTCTACACACACACGCATGCACATGCATGCACTTACCATAGCTACCAACGACCTCATATACGAAAGATTGTTCAGTAGGTTTTGGACTTCAAATGTCAACTAAACCGCAGTTTTTCTTAAGCCTTTCAGGATGGAAATTGTTCATAATACAAGCAGCGAAAATCATGCTAACACTGGGTGATATTTTTCACTGGTCTATGTCAGCGGATATCTTATTTCATAATCCACATGCCAACCAGGTTAATCTGCAGTTCAGTTAGAACATTTCCATCAACTACCTCTGCTGTTAGGTGAAAAAAAAAACATCAATCCAAAATCTCCATCCCTTCCAAACCAATTTTCCCAAATTGTTTTGTACTTTGGTTTGGTAGAAATAAATACGCACAAATAACAACTCACTCCAGGATGAGTAACCTTAAATATGGCAAATAACTGAATACACCTCTACAAAGAGGGCGTATACCTCCACAAAGACAGCCATAATTTTTTTTTTTTTTTATGTTTGGTAGAAATAAATACGCACAAATAACAACTCATTCCAGGATGAGTAGACTTAAATAGGGCATATCACTTCCTTATACTGGTAGTGAGAGATTGGCAAGGGGTCACGCTGCCCTTTCAATGACAAATGCCCATGCATATATGGAACAGCATACTGCATATCTCTCCACAGCTTGTACCCACGGAAATACAGAAATACAGGCCTGGAAATACACACACCAGTAAAGAATACACTGGATCACTGAGTATAACCAAATTAAGACTTGGATTCTCACGACCAGCTGGTCCTGATAGTCATTAGTCCTGACACAGTCTTCAGGTCAAGTCCTGAGAATTCAAATCTGTTACAGAAAAATGAATGGATAAAATCTCCAATTTATCGGTCACAAAATAGGTTTAATTTTGTCCACTAGGGCACAAGTGGTTTGTCGATTTATAAAACTTTTTTCAGCTATCTTTCGACTGGTCTGAAACTGATTCCATGAAAACTTCATGTATTTCATTAGCAAAAATGAAATTTAAAATCTGTGACATTCAAGACAGACATAGCCTATAAAAAGTTTCAATATTGCATCTTTCTGCTTCAAGTTACATCAGTTGAACTACAGAGTAGTGCCATATAAGTATACTGTTGCTTCATGCCCATTCTAAAGCAACCTTTTTGGCTACTGCCATTATGGAAAAGTACCTGTCCTGTCCAGGAACGGGTACAGAACTAACATATGATACTACTGCGGGGGTTCTCTCCTCAAGGCTACAATCAGGTGTTCTCCGATACCAAATTTACACGAAATGACCCTCATTTTTTAACCCAGTGACAAGGGAATGACCCCGGAATTTTTACGCTTTAGTTTGGATCCAAATTCACCCCTAGGCTCAAAACATAGCGGAAACCTTGCTGCTGTTTAAAAAAAAATTTAGGTAGCTTGTTTATCATCGCCTAAAAAATGCTCTGCAAAGAAAAGAATTCAGACTTGGCTGAGGAAGTAGAACATATTGCTAAAGTTACAAGCCAACTGTCGTAAATCTTTCCAAATCCAGGTGTTGTCTGTGAAGAATTGCTTATCACACCTGTCTAGTGTATATATATATATATATACATATGTATCACTCACTAGATAATCTTTCTGATAGGATATGGTGCACTGCCATGGAACTAATAATGACAGCGAAGACCTCATTTCCCTCCAAATGCTGTATATTTCAGCTAAATAAGGTTATATCTGTTGTTGTTGATGGACATATATTGTACAGTACCATATTCCTGATATCTGAGTAATCTCTTTGGAATCCTGACAGCAGCATCAGATATTTGCTGACTTTCAAAATGATGGATTGTGACGGAAGACAAATGTTGAATGCTGATGACTTGAGTATCACTTTCATTGCAATCACAGTAGGAAAATACAACAGAAAACTAGCGCGCACACACACACACACATACATACACACTCACAAAGACATTTAACAGATAAAAATTCCATACTACAACACCAGTGTACCTGCATAATCCACAATATTAACGTCAGCCCCAGCTTTGATAAGCTTCTTAATCTGCTTGACATCGCCTCTTATGGCCGCCAGATGGAGTGGTGTTTCTCCGCGTTCGTTTCTTTTATTGACTTTTCTGTCCAAAGGTGTCTTTTTACCAATGGGAGTGACACTCTGGGGGGAGTTGGGCTTGGATGAGGACTCTGAAAAAGGAGATCGTCAATAAATATTAATGTGGCTAACTCCATTGGCTTACGTACATGGAAAAACACTTTCCGAGGACATTTTGGTTGATTTCTAGAGGACTTTCAACAACGTAGAGTATACAAATATGCCAGGGGAATGTCCAAGTGCTGTTCAATAAAGCACTAGATCAAGGCATTCCAGGAAATTGCCTGACATCTCACATTTCCATGCAATTCTTAGCCAATGAAGCAATAAAAGAAAGACAATTGCTTTAGTCAATACAGGTTTTCTTCAAACGGTAACCTGTAAATGTCAATTTTGGTGAAATCTATCAAGTGCCAAAATAAATAGGTGGCATCGCTGCCAAGCTGAACCCTGCTGCAAAACTCACTCTCTTCCATAACATTTGTTTGAAATATGTAGAAAATATTGAACCAGGTAATAATAATATTAATAATAATAAAAATAGGCTCTTCTTGTCCTCATACCTTCAGATTCGGCCGTCATCTGCATCAGCAACGCCATCTGCTGGCGCTCTGACAGAGGAACTGTGAGGCGGGGGACACTCCCTGGGGTCTTGGGAGTTCCCATCCCTGGGGTAATCTTGGCCAAGCCAGGGGGTGTAGGGTGAGGAGACCCATCTATCGACCCAGGTTTCTTTCTCTTTGGGGTAGTTTTCTTGTCTGAAGAGAAAAACATAAAATATTTAAACTCTAGAGCCATGACTGCTACATGAACTATGAAATGAACTATTAAATGAAATGGTTTTTGAATTCGTTCCTGATACTTTTCCCTTCAAGCTCAATGTCTACTACACTTTATTCTGTATTTTAAAACAAAATGTCGAAACAAGTTTCCCCAAACTTTATTTTAATTAACGATCTGTGTAGTCTCAAAATACAATTTTTTAAAAATTTTAATGCAGTTTTAATGTATAACACATGAAATACACCTGTAATTCAGTGTTTACAAGTGACAAGTTTTCTTTGTAAAAAAGAATGAAGTGAAGCACCCTTCTGCCTAATTAATCAATCTTTTGAAATATTTTAGACTGGCATTCTGTGCCAATGGTAATAAATGAGTACAATGCCCCTACACAAAACCATGAAGAATTGCTGATTTGGTTTTAGCTAATCAGGTATATTGCCTATTTCTATACCTCTTGCTAGCTGCATGTATTGTTCAATTATATCCACTTATCTAGATTACATAATACAACACATCAGCCATATATCAATATCTTTACAACAACTAATGGCTTGTGTTAAAAGCAGCTTCAAAGTGAAAAACTCCAGACTCAAATCATGCATATAAATTATCATTACTTCAGCACCTGCTTTTTGCTACCAGGCCACTAACAGCAGACCTAGTACACATGCAGGTCAGTGACTTATTACATAACAAACAGGTTCAAGGATGGACAATGGCCTATTTACACAGTGCACATGAACTAGAGAGGTCTGCTGACACTCAGGGGTTAGATAATGTCCCAAGGAATTATTCCAAGCCCCTGCTTGCTATCATATTCTCAGGCAATAGTGAATATATGTTCTAGGTTTACACTATTGCATAAATGTGAACCAAAAGTCAAATGTTATATTAGAATAAAGCAAGAAGTTTTCTTTATTCAAATGTAGTATTGTATTTTTGATAACCTCCAATGTACCTAAAATTGCATTTCCTGAGCACCAGGTTTCTATTTATTAAAAAATCAAGAAACTAATCAAATCTGGCAGTTTCAATTAGTAACACAACCAAGAAGTTCAGAATGGGAACCCTGTAAAATGAATTGTTTAAAAGTACCTTAAAAGTACCAGAAAGTTGTCTTCATTCAAACACTAGTTTTGTCTTTTTTGATAACCTCCAATATTGAAAGTGCATTTCCTGAGCATCAGGTTTACATTTTTTTTTTTTTTAATCACGAAACTAATAAAATCTGGCAGTGCCAATCAGTACCCCAATTAAGAAGTTCAGACCGGCCAAGAACGCAGGAACCCTGTAAAATCAATGGTTTAAAAGTACCATCCATATACAGTGCAATGCAATTTTCTCTCAGAACCCAAGGCTTAAAGAATTGTCTGAGTAGGAGGAAGTGTAATTTGGACGAGGGGAGAAAACCTGGCAACTGGCAATGAATCTGAACAAGTCACCAGAAAAGGTCAGGCAATCAGCTACTTTCCCCAAAGGCCAACAATTCTAGTTCAAATTTTCCCCTGATTCCCACTGACATTTAACTAAACCACCTCTAAGCAGGGACCTTTAGTTGTCTATGTAAACGGAATGTTAATGCACATATAAATAGATATCAAGCACAAATGGTTTTCTATTCAAAAAAGTGGATACCAGCTTTAAGCACTTGCATCTGGCAAAGTCATTTCTGCCTTCATACACTTCTGTATGTGCTGTAAACAACATATTCTAAAATATTTGCTCCAACCCTGAATTTAGCTCACTAGCTCTGTATAAGTTTTTTTTTTTCTTACAATTATCCTAATAGAAAAGTGTATGGCTTTTACTCAGGAATCCTTCAACAATATATTTTAAGTCACTGATAGTTATGGGCATTATGAAATATTTCATCAATCAATTTTAATATATTCACTCATTAAGAAATTTGTGATAAAGTGTGAAGAAATTTTGATGCACAAAAAAATAGAAACAGTAATGCAATTCCGCCCTAGGGAACTTAGGGTGCGAGAACATTCTCTACACCTGGTGTTTCTTACGCATGAACTTTACTATGGCAACCTAATCAGATGGCCCAGCTTATTTACTGCTTTGAAAACCTTGTCTTCTGAAAACAAGGTCATTTATTCAAGGTATGGTATGTGCACTTCACACAAGGTTGAATAAGAAAACACATTCTATGATGGATGACTACTATTTCAAACCACAATTTTAGTTACCATGTTACCTACCAGTAGAAGACCACACAGACACATGCACACCAATATTATATTTGAAAAGTGTTCAATTTACTTTATAAAATATACAAAAACCTCATGTTCGTTAATGATCGGAAAAATAATGTTCCTGTCTGAAGACACTGGTTCTGAGGGATATGAAACCAAACAAAGACCATGCTAACAAAATATTTTTTGTGTTGTACGCAACAAAATGTGACCATAAGTAGCATGTTATATCTACAATATATCCGTCATATTTCCCTAAAAGTCAGGGTTTATACTCCTGTCAAGTCAAGCATCATTATTGTGAGTACAGACAACCACAAACTTTCCATTTGTCTACTGTGTCCGTGAAAAAGGGCAAGAAATTAAGACTTTTCGCACCCAGCAAGGCAAGCCTGTGGTAAAACAACAGCAGGATAATTTGAAGTGCAACCGCTGCTCTTCAATGTGGTTACTTTCAAAAAGGAATTTGAACAGCAACAGTTTCCTGATTTCACCAACCATAAATGATTTCTGCACATGGTATTTAAGGGTGTGTTCACAGTGAATCTTTTATACTAGCTAGTGCGGACCAAGTCCACAGCGACTCTTAATGAATACAATCATATTAACACACTTCCACCTGGTCTTGAGTGGAATAAAGAAAAGCTGCCGATCATACAAGATACCAGTGCTACATAACCAAGCACCTTCTGAATATTACATGCCTTATGTATTACATAATTTAGATTGCCACCATAAATAACTTCAACCTATAACTTAATTGCATTTCAGTATGCTGTATGTCATTTTTCTCCTCAAGTAATACTTGTACTGCAGAAAATGGGGGGGGGGGGGGGGGTTTAGGTTGTTAATATGTACATGTGTACATCTTTAAGGTCACAGTGACCCATAAACCATTTTAAAAAACTCATTTATAAATAAAGAGATCAGTTAGTTATAAAGTTCAGGTTAAATTTTATGCAGAAATGCACTTTCAGTGACTTTAGGCTACAACCAGCATGCAAATCACGGCATTATAAACGTGACAAAACAAACTGTAGCACTTCCATGTTGGATCTGCCATCAAATGCCAGTTACTTGGGAAAAAAAAAAAAAAACTTAATCTCCTTGCTTGCAGTTTCAAGCCACGCACACAAAACATATTTATAATTTCAGATCAAATAGCCCCCTTTTGATTTCATCTTTCCACAAATAACATAAAACATAAAATACATCATCCTTGTCACTGAAGGGCATCATAGCACCACATCAACCTTATCGCTTTACACAGGCTTGATAAAAACAGGAGATAAGTTTCAGCATCCGACATCCACCAAATTTTTGGCAAAAAGCCAAATCAATATCATAGGCATAACCTTGAACTGAAAAATAGGACATATTCATCATTTCACTGCTCTGCTACTGGCCTTAAAAAAGAATGCAGGTGAATATATAAATGCATCTTTTCCAACATCTATCTACAAAACCCCATTTTAAAAGCCCAGTTTTCCTTTTAAACCTTGCATTACATTACCAGATTTTATATATTCACAAATATATGACATTTGGTGTAACAACAGGTGGTCAGATATTATCTTGCAAATGTATTCAATCCAACAGCTTTCACTGCATTATTATTACCTTTAACGAGCCTGAGTCTTTAGCACAATCCACTAAAATCCTAGCTCTACAGGTTAAACTTAAGTAAGTCATTCACATATAAAACTGGTCAGGGAAAGAACCCATAACTTACTCAACATCATATACAAGACTTTTTTTCAATGTTTGCAACACCGATTTGTTAGCTATTCAAAATTGTGAACAATGATTCCAGTCACTTCTTTTGAAAAAGAAATGCCATGAAATCGAGTTGTCAACACTCTGTCCTAAAATAGTGTGCACGTCATTAAGGAGGATTTATTAACAAAGCAAATAATTTGGTGGCCAAGTCATTAAGGAGGATGGATATATTAGCAAAGGAAATAATTTGGTCCAGCTTGACTATTGTGTGAAAGTTGGGACAAAAACTACTGATTTGCCATACATTGGGGCTTGGTAATCACAGTGAAAACTGTCATCACACCATTTCTCCATTAATATTGTCTAAAATTGCCAGCCTGTTCATAACCATCTGTGTCTGGTACACGCATGCATTGTGTTGAACAGGTTAACGAGAGATCACAAGTTACTTGTCAACACTCCCTGTTCTGATCATGTGATTAAAATTACAGATTGTATATTTCTGGTGTGATGGATCGCTCCTTCAGATATTTTGAAAGATTTAATTGCCATTCCTGGTTCATTTGATAACCACTCCCTTATAAACTGCAATGTTTTGAAATAGTACCTTTTGGGTTTCAATTTTCTATTAGAGATAAACGGACTGAAATGAAGGAAATGCATACAGTCTTCCCCTTTGTAGTGCAATTCATTTAGATATCACGCAACATTATAATGCTGCTAGAGCTGCTATGGCAGATCTTTATAACACTGATATGCTGCTGACTTTAAAAAGGACAAAAGTGAGATAATTAAGGGTGTCTCAGAAACAGTTCTGCATAATAATAGTCTTAATTACATCTTTCTTTTGATATTGAACATGACATAACTGTGGGTGTCTGTCTCCTACAGACCAGGTAGTCGTTATCTTGTCTCTTTAATGGTTTCACCTGCGGGTAAAACGAAAATGGGTTTCTTTTCTTCTGTTATTAACCTTTAATGAGGCAGGAAATGTACTTTATATCTAACATTGCTATCACGCCATCGTTAATGCAAATTGAAAACAATCCATGTAAAAGAAATAAAATCTCTTGTGGATGGCGTCCTCTTAAGTAAAGGTTAGTCTTTTTATAAATGTGATACTTAACAAACACCCAATTTTAGACAATTCTGCTAGATGCCATCTTTTGTTTTACCATTGAGACTGAAATGACTAGTGGAAAAATACATCCTGGATGTTAGAGACAATGTAGTAGGAGAATTTGAAAATATAATACTCTATCAGGGACGAGACTACAATTTAGCAAAATGATAAAAAAAATGGCATGGGATCCAGGGGGCAACTTAGGCCAATGATACTTTTGGTTCCCAAAAAGTCTGAAATCTGCCCATAGTTGGAAAAATTTTATCCCTGCTGTATTTATCTCAAATGAGTGCTTTTTATGATCCAATCCAACCCTGATAAGGAATCAAAACATGATGACAATACTCATCCTAAAATGAATTTACATAAAATTTATCCAGCATGTGATCTAATCTCCCGCTTGCATCTGATAACAACTCAGACTTCCCTTCATTCACTGCTGTGCATTAAAATTAATCTAACCCAAGCTCTCCTATCTGGACTGATCCCCCCATGGCAAAATGACAGCTGTTAAAACTGGGTGTTTTCATTTTCAAGCTGACTTTTAAAATTTTTACCTGGATCAGCTCCTAAAGTCATTTCTTCAGAGGTTAGGAAAAAAATTAATTAATGGGACAATTAAGGTGTCCTTGTGGTGACATACGTATATATGTTAGGCTGTGTCACAGTGTTAAAGTAATGGGAGTTGCTTGACAGTAAGAGAAACAACAAAACATGTGTTGTACAGCAGTCGGGTCTGGCATGCCCATCATTTAGACACCTGGGGGACATTAATCAAAGAGCCAGCAAAACGTTCTTACGACTAAACCATTTCCCCAATAAGCGTTTCAGAATAAATGCAATTTAACTCTTTTTTAAAAATACTGCTTAAGCAATTCAGCAGCCAGGTCTTACCGTTTCATAATTTATTTTTTGACAGAACTGACGAAAGCACAGGCAATCCCTATCCTAAATCAGCAGTAGAAAAAAAAATGGAAAATTAAGATGCAACATACTCCTTCAGAAATTTTTTTTTTCTGGTGGAAAAAAAAAAAAAAAAAAAAAAAACACTTTTCAATGTCCATATTCTTGCAATTGCCCCTTATGTGAACCCTGCCAACATAAAAAAATGAAAGACACGAAAAAGCTGACACGAACAGCACAGACACCTCACATCTTATATACATAAATAACCCAAGTACTAGGAATAAATAGTACAGAAACACATGGCCCAAATTAGCCACGAAGAACAGAGAGTTTATAGATCTTACGCACAAATCAACTATGAGGGGAGACACAGAGTTCACCTGTACTCTGATATAGATATATGAGCCAGCCAGGTGGGCTGTATTAAGCACACAGGTAGGCTATGTCTACATCAGTTTAACCAGTAAATGAAACCCTCATGCTGATTAGGAGCCCAGGTGTGTTCCCGCCAATACACCAATATGTTGGGTCGAGTCCACATTTATCAACGTCAGCCTGCATTTGTCTTCTTCTTCTTCGGTTTGATTTCTATGCTACGTTCTCCATTCCAAGCTTAAAACTTTTTTTTCTCCAGGCTTGTTTATACTTACGATGTTTTTTCACCTTGCACCCCCCCCCCCTTTTCCGTCCCCCTTTATAAACTGGCATAAAAAGTCAAGGTCATGTCATTCTGACCTGCTGGGTCAGGAAAGCCGCTTTTTTAAGTTGAGAATTGCATGTGAACTTCAGTTTCTTCACCACATCACATCACATTGCCTACACATCATCATTAGACTGGGCCAATGCCACACATTGAAGTACATCATGATTACAATTATCAATGGAAATATATTTCCTTTTTAGGTTTGACTGAAAAGCATAGCACACATGTTGGAATATTCCTCAAAGACATCACTATCGCCCAGCATTGTTCTCTCTCTCTTTCTGAATAGATTGGTTTGGCCCCAATTCTAAATTTATGTTCTCCTGCCTACACTCTCTCATTGACCAGATTTCCCCCTTTGTAAGGCATCTCTATCTGGGGTAGTGCTAGCAAATTTTTTCGCTTAGCCAAAACAATACTTTTTCATTAATTTTTTTTCACAAAATAGTTTAAATCTGACAAAAAACAAGTCAAATCAACCTTACTGTTTAGCCAATTATAGTTAGTTTTAGCATTTGGCTAAACTGGCGAGTGTGAGTGCTACCCCCCCCCCCTCCCCCAAATCACAACCACCTTCACCCACCTTCCTCTTCCTGTGTTCCCTGATTAAACAGCTTCCTCTTCAGTCCCTTTTCCACCTTCTGAGGCTGGGGGGTCTTGGTGGCAGACGGTAGTTTCTCCTGAAAGAAGAGAAAAATAATAAAATCAAGATTTAAAAGGTGTGAATACGGATAAAATGTCACATGTGGCAAACAGAAGTTGCTTGTGTTATATACATCATGAACAACTTCATCAGCACCATGCATCTCTGTTCTCTCCCTCTGGGAGTATGGATATATCTTCTTCTACAATCCCCAGTTCATGCTGAAAAATCAATTGGCTAAAAGTATCAAGGGCGAGATGACATTGGTAGGAGGCATATATAAAACATAAATGAACTACTAAAAATGACCTTGCCTGCCGCATAAATATTAATAAATTGATCATATGGAGACGACTTCATTTCTGATATTCATATCCTTATGTGGGGAAAAAACTGAAGCAAAAACCGTACACAAAAATGAACACCAAGACACTTTTTGCAAAAACCACATTTTACCTGCAGACTGTTTCGCAGCTGACCTGCCCCTGCTCGATGCTCATGCACGCGAACGGGCACATGCTGCATTCCTCCAGTTAAAGTACGTTCAATTTTCCTTAAGCCTCCAAAATTATTCACCATACATGCTGCCATGAGGATGCGACTGTGGGGTAATTATTCTTATGCACTTGGAAAAAAAACCCCAGTGTCCAAGAAGTTCAGCTTACAAATCTGAAGTTTGATTCAGAACCTATAGATTTTTCTCTTTCCTTCTTACAACTGCTTCCGCAACATCCGTACGTCAATAACCAAGAGAAAAACTGCATCAACTCTTTAAAAAATACGCTTTCCAAATATTTTCAAAGTCTGAGGGCATGCGGTTTAAGTATGCGCTTCTGTGAGTGAAAATGACAGCAGAGATATTATTACTGCAATACCAAGTCCATAAGCCAATGTTACGAAATGTTCTTGAAATTTAAATAAATAACATCTCGCCTCTCCTCAGGAAGTCCCAAAGCAGCACTGGCAGCTATTTCTACAAACAGCTTGTGAGAGGATGTGACACTTAAGAACTAGAATGTCAGCTCTGTTCTCCTTCCAATGGTAAAAATAAAGTGCAAAAGCACAGAGAACAAATTACAAGTTACGAAGATTAAATAAAAGCCACAAACTTCGCAAAAAACTTCTATTAGAATGTCATATTTTCAATATCTTAAACGGATGTTAGTCCCTGCTTTCTGACTGCTCTTTCACATAGAGTTTGAAACCTAGAAATGACTCAATTTAAATCAAGTTTGTCAAAACTGTGCGTCTAGTTATTGGTCACTCATATCCATTAACTGGTCATTGAGTTCGAGATCCATTAAGTCCTCAATTATGGGCTGTAATAGTCAGTGCTGTATCCCAATACCACTAATAGGTCAACCAATTGTCCAGCAGTGGGCACTGATCTGCAGTTTCAATATCCAGTCATCAGAATGCTGTGAAAAGCTTCAAACTTTCCCTCATATCTGTGAATAATCCACACAGATTTGAAAACATGTGTCTCCAGGTGTGTGAGTGCCACCAACAGTTAGCTCTTACAGTGAAGAAATACTTTCAGTGCTCCAATAAAATTATGATGAAGTCATCACACCTGTACGGCTGAGAATAATACCACGCTCATCATCATTATCACCACCACAAAACCATCAGCACCACCATCAAGTATCACCATCCAAAAAGTTTGATTGCTTGACCTTAAATATGAATCATCTTTAATTTAATTGATGACTGCACACTAGTGGCCTTTGACATCACCTCATGTGGACTCCCAACGGCACATGGTGTGAGTGTGTGTGTGTACACTCCTCTTACTCTCTGACCACAAAGTGTCTGAAGATTACCAATAATAATCACCTAGCACTATAGTACCATCCTACCAGTCCATACAATACAATACATTCTGGGTATATATAAGCTGCCGGCTGCTTGTTCAGGCTATCCCAGCCACAACATGCTATTCACTGCCACCACCAGGTGAGTCATCATCGGTGTTTCTCTCTCCAGCTTTTCTGATAATAGCACCGAGCCATCCAACCAACCAACTCTGCTGATGCAAGTAAATATTTGAGCACACCCCTCTGTAATTAACATCATATCTGCAGATCTAGGTCACAGGAATAATGGGCAACCTGCCAACCTGCTGTGGCTGAGAATAAATAGTGATATACATATATATAATGGGAAAGAAAAGGACTGACTTCATATGTGTTCATATCAGGGTTGATTTAGACTGGAAACTGGAGAGTAACATCAGTCTTATAACAAAGAGAAGAACATTTAACATGAAAGTTATCCTTCCTGACATCTGAAAATTGGTCTGATTGGTTTTCAAGTTTGCAGGTGCCCTCAAGTGAACAGATGACTAGGGACTGTTAAGTTGCTGTCCTACCGTTTGCTGTGCATCACCTAATGCCTATCTTTCTCTCTCTCTGAAGGAGTCCAATGACTACTGTAAAAATACCTAAACCCTTCACCCAAAAATAAAAATCAATGTAAACACTCTGCGTGAAGTTGAGAATCTCTTTCTACATCACCTCCTGAACTCATTTCGTTGGATTTGGAGGAGGCAGGTGCACATACTTAGCCCTTAGGAAATATTGTAAAGAGAGAAGGAAATATGAATAAGAAAATATGCCGAGACTTTAATGAGCCCCTCCTGCCAGGCCGCTTCTGTTAAATCCAACGCTGTTTATCACAGTGGTAAATTACACATCAACCCTCCCAGACTTAACCACTGTTTAATATTTCAATCCATTTATTTCAGAGATAAGTGGAGAGAAAGTACAGTTCACCCAGTGCCGTGATGAGAGAGAGAGATAGATATCAGTCTCGGTGTGCCTGGCGATGAAGGGTTAAAGGTAACAGGAGCTGATAGCACACAAACACACTGCAGCGGGGATTAAAAACAGGCCACATGATGAAATTGGTGGTGGGGGACCATCCCAAAATGACCTCAGGAATTTTTCAAGGCTCACAGTCATAATGAGACAGGAACTTTTGACCGACCTGATTATATTAAAGAAAAGTGCTTTTGTTGATGGCATAATGTGCTTTGTTAAATAGCATTTAATTTTCTCTTCTGAGCTGTCTCTCTGTTTTTCGACTCGTTCTTAAACAGACTACAAAAATAAACCTTCACTCAAAACTGTGCTGTTTCTCTTCATCTTGCAGACGGGCCCAAAAAATCAATTTCCTTTTCATCTTAACTCAGTACCGCTTTTTCATGATTTCATAAAAACAGCACATAATTTTTTCTGCTTCGGCATGCCAGGGAACAAATACAACGTTTCCAGGAGAGGTGAAAGGGGAAGAAGAAAAAAAAAGAAAAAAAGGAATCTATAACTGAATTCTCATTTATAAAAAGAACATGGTGGTCCATGACTTAGATTATCTCTTCTTTCCAGGAAATAAAAAGTTATTTTGCTCAATTGATGTATATTCTGTGGCAGATTTTTGAAAACTGAAAGTAATTTTCAATGCGATAAATGTCATGTAGGCCAAAATGAATGATATTTATGGCGTTAAGTCATCATATAGCTGTTAATTCCAAGTTCCTGACAGCTTACTCCTTGACTGTTAATTACAAAATGTGATAAACAGCATATGGCAAAGTTTCCTGACAACCTTTCCCAATGACGTTACCTGATGTGGTAATTAACAATAGAACAGTCTGGAACAGTCGAAAACATGGGATATTAGGGTGTATTCCCAGAGATTTAGATCGATCCAGAGATTAAGATTTAGATCGACCTAACTCCCTGGGGGTTCACGCTAAATTGCAGTCAGCCGAGCGCGCACCACAGTTAATTACCCCCTTACAGCTTTCAGTAGGCAGGACAGACGCTTAAGCTGGCTAAGCTGCCAGGAATCTAGTGAGACTCCCCACAGGGATAGATCGATCTTAAGTCTATGGAAATGGGTCTTACTTTTAGAGCAGTTGAAGATGTGAAATAATATACATTTTATCATGAATGAAAAAATAGTAATTTCAATAAATTTCACTTTCCTGGCAGTTACAATAAAACAAAAGGTAACTGGCGGTTACAAAAGAGAAAAGAGAAAAAATCCAAGCTTCACACCTGATGTAATGGTGTGAGACGGAAATTAATTTCTGCCTGGAAAACCAAAATCTAATTAATCATCAAGAAAATATATTGGGATGCACAGCTTTAGGTGAATATGTTGGGTATAGCTGACATAGGGTACTAAAGGAAATTAAAAGGAAGTTTCTTAAGCATCTATATCAGTGTCATGGATGTATTTTTTCCCTATGCCTTTAGCAATAAAATTTAATTGTGATATTTCTTTATTGATGCAGTTTCTCAACACGGTTTTGATTTATCATACCAATTTTCATTTCAATATGACATTAAAACCAAGATCTGTCTCAGTAACCATAGGGGAGATAGATCATTAATATAATAGGACTATAAAAGATGCCAGTTATCTATTCTCTATTTTTTTCTCTTTTTTACCAATAAGTGGTCACCAAGGTTGGATAAAAGCAAATTTTCAAAACTGTCAGCTGTTGTCGTTACAAGCATCTTTGGCCTACAAAAGAATTTCATCCAAATTTTTCCGTGTCCATGGCCCATTTCCAAAGTGGAAGTCTCTTTCATTCACAGGAAGACACAGGGAAACAACTATGGGCAACAGGCCGCCTCATTAATGGTCGTCTGAGCATCTTAATACTCTGATACAAGTATGGCATGATTCACCCTTGAAAGGCTAAGGGCAGTGATTACAGATAATTTGAATGGCAATTCTGTTTTTCGCTATCATAATATCATCCTCACCAATGTCTCTGCACTTCAGGGCCAGTAAAATCCAATCCAAGCTAAGATCTTAAAGAAACTTGAATTGTAATTGGTACTGCGGGGGATTGACTGACCTTCTTTAACTTCAATATATGGATATCACCCCTTAATAGTTATTACAAGGGCCCCTATAAGGTATTCTTAATGCTCAAACATTATATCTACCTGGTTCTTTTACCAATACAGACATCTGTCCTATTCTTTTCTCTAACAAGCCCCTTATATGGATTTTCAAAAA